AGGTCGAGTTTAGAAAGGACTATTTATTGTTAATAATAAAAGAAATCTCAAGAACTACTACACTTACCCGCACCTAGTGGTTTCCGTGGTCCTAGTGTGTGATCATCAATAGTCGCTCTTAACACATCCTGAAAATTTAAAGTCTCTACGACCACGGGAGGTACAAGCGGTACGAAAATTCAATAGCGACAAAATGTACTCTCCCTGACCTGTTCTACATGTGTACTCGGACACTCGGAGTAGTAGAAGTAGGCTAGTCGATGAATTTCCCTATTTATGGAATATACTGTCTAATATTCTAAAAATATGTGAATCACTTTCTGAAATATCATTTAATTTACAAAATATTATTTTTCAATGTAAATAAATTCATAGAAATACTTTATAATCTTTCAAAATTAAGAAAAAGTCTCGCTACTAAGCGAGGCCGATTGTAATACTTCATGCATAGCGAGGCCGATTAGGCTCGATACGCGATATTTGGTGATGTATTTCCGTGTTTTTGGGATATATAGTATAATGTCCTTAATATACGTAAAACGTTCGAAAGAAATATGATTATTTAATCAAAATCAATTAAAAAAATATCCCCCAAATCTTTTAAACATAAGAAAAAGTCGCACTGCTAAGCGAGGCCGATTGTATACTTCATATGGTATCGTACAATGAATTCCGCTATTTCTGTGATATAAAAGATACTACTCTTTATTTATATAATACAATCACTCAAGTATTATTTTTCTATGAAAATTAATTCATAGAAATACTTTATAATCTTTAAAAAGTTAAGAAAAACTCCCACTGCTAAGCGAGGCCGATTGTATACTTCATGTGGTATAGTGCGATGAATTCCGCTATTTCTGTGATATATAAGATGCTATTCTTAATTTATATAACACAATCACTCAAGTATTATTTTTCTATGAACATTAATTCATAGAAATACTTTATAATCTTTCAAAACTTAAGAAAAAGTTCTACTGCTAATCGAGGCCGATTGGGTTCAAAGTGTGCATACTGCATATATATAGCTAGGCCGATTAGACTCTATATACGCGGTATTGGTTAATGCATTTCCGTGTTTCTGGGATATATAGTATAATGTCCTTAATATACGTAAAACGCTCGAAAAAATTATGATTATTTCATGAAAATCAATCGAAAAAATATCCCCAAATCTTTTAAACATAAGAAAAAAGCGGACTGCTAAGCAAGGCCGATTGTATACTTCATGTGGTATAGTGCGATGGATTCCGCTATTTCTGTGATATATCAGATACTATTCTTAGTTTATATAATACAAACACCCAAATATTGTATTTCGATGAAAATTAATTCATAGAAATACTTTATAATCTTTCAAAATTAAGAAAATGTCTCACTGCTAAGCGAGGCCGATTGTATACTTCATACAGTGGTATAGTGCGATGAATTCCGCTATTTCTGTGATACATACGGTACTATTCTTAAATATATTCAAAACTAGATAATGTAAAGGCAATTTGCTGAAAATTTCAGTCAAATTGATCCACTATGAACCGAGAAATAAGCAGTAAGCGATCGAAAGTTCCGAATAGCCTCGGTCATTATTACTAAAATCGGTTCGACAAAAATCATAGTCTCGATTATCCACTTAATCGTTAAATAGAGAAGGAGTTATGCAGCAAATCGGATAATAATCCAACAATTGTCTAATTAATAGTTAATATATCATTTCAGGCCTAAAGAAAGACATAGAATAGGCAAATTTAGCTCTTGCATAATGCATGTTTAATTTATATAATACATAGAAATATTTTATAACCTTTCAAAATTAAGAAAAAGTCCCAGTTAGGCCGATTAGGCTCTATACGCGGTATTGGATGGTGCATTTCCGTGTTTCTGGGATATATAAGATAGTGTGTTTAATATACGTAACACATTAGAAAGAAATATCATTATTTTATAGAAATCAATTGAAAAAATATCCGCAAATCTTTTAAACGTAAGAAAAGGGCTGACTGCTAAGCGAGGCCGGTTGTATACTTCATGTGGTATAGTGCGATGAATTCCGCTATTTTTGTGATATATAAGATGCTATTCTTAGTTTATATAATACAGTCACTCAAATACTATTTTTCTATGATAATTAATTTATAGAAATACTTTATAATCTTTCAAAATTAAGAAAAGGTCCCACTGCTGAGCGAGGCCGATTGTATATTTCATGCATAGCGAGGCCGATTAGGCTCTATACGCGATATTGGGTGATGAATTTCCGTGTTTCTGGGATATATAGTATAATCTCCTTAATATACGTAAAACGTTCGAAAGAAATATGATTATTTTATGAAAATCAATTAAGAAAATATCCCCCAAATCTTTTAAACGTAAGAAAAAGTCTCACTGCTAAGCGAGGCCGATTGTATACTTCATATGGTATAGTGCAACGAATTTCACAATTTCTGTGATATATAAGATGCTATTCTTAATTTATATAATGCAATCAGTCAAATATTATTTTTCTATGAAAATTAATTCATAGAAATACTTTATAATCTTTCAGAATTAAGAAAAGATCCCACTGCTGAGCGAGGCCGATTTGGCTCTATACGCGATATTGGATGATGTGTTTCTAGGATATATAGTATAATGTCCTTAATATACGTAAAACGTTCGAAATAAATATGATTATTTTATGAAAATCAATTAAAAAAATATCCCCCAAATCTTTTAAACGTAAGAAAAAGTCCCGATGCTAAGCGAGGCCGATTGTATAGTTCATATGGTATAGTGCAACGAATTCCGCTATTTCTGTGATATATAAGATGCTATACTTAATTATATAATGCAATCATTCAAATATTATTTTTCTATGAAAATTAATTCATAGAAATACTTTATAATCTTTCAGAATTAAGAAAAGATCCCACTGCTGAGCGAGGCCGATTTGGCTCTATACGCGATATTGGATGATGTGTTTCTAGGATATATAGTATAATGTCCTTAATATACGTAAAACGTTCGAAATAAATATGATTATTTTATGAAAATCAATTAAAAAAATATCCCCCAAATCTTTTAAACGTAAGAAAAAGTCCCGATGCTAAGCGAGGCCGATTGTATAGTTCATATGGTATAGTGCAACGAATTCCGCTATTTCTGTGATATATAAGATGCTATACTTAATTATATAATGCAATCATTCAAATATTATTTTTCTATGAAAATTAATTCATAGAAATACTTTATGATCTTTCAAAATAAAGAAAAGGTCCCACTGCTGAGCGAGGCCGATTGTATATTTCATGCATAGCGAGGCCGATTAGGCTCTATACGCGATATTCCGTGATGAATTCCCGTGTTTCTGGGATATATAGTATAATGTCCTTAATATACGTAAAACGTTCGAAAGAAATATCATTATTTTATAAAAATCAATTGAAAAAATATCCCCCAAATCTTTTAAACATAAGAAAAAGGCTGACTGCTAAGCGAGGCCGATTGTATACTTCGTGTGGAACAGTGCGACGAATTCCGCTATTTCTGTGATATATATGATATTATTCTTAATTTCTATAATACAAACACTCAAATATTATTTTTCTATGAAAATTAATTCATAGAAATAGTTAATAATCTTTCAAAACTTAAGAAAAGGTCCCACTGCTAAGCGAGGCCGATTGTATATTTCATGCATAGCGAGGCCGATTAGGCTCTATACGCGATATTGGGTGACGAATTTCCGTGTTTCTGGGATATATAGTATATAATGTCCTTAATATACGTAAAACGTTCGAAGGAAATATCATTATTTTATAAAAAATCAATTGAAAACATATCCCCCAAATCTTTTAAACATAAGAAAAAGGCTGACTGCTAAGCGAGGCCGACTGTATACTTCATGTGGTATAGTGCGATGAATTCCGCTATTTCTGTGATATATACGATATTATTCTTAATTTCTATAATACAATCACTTAAATATTATTTTTCTATGAAAATTAATTCATAGAAATACTTTATAATCTTTCAAAATTAAGAAAAAGTCCCACTGCTAAGCGAGGCCGGTGGTATACTTCATGCATAGCGAGGCCGATTAGGCTCTATACGCGATATTGGGTGATGTGTTTCTAGGATATATAGTATAATGTCCTTAATATACGTAAAACGTTCGAAAGAAATATGATTATTTTATCAAAATCAATTGAAAAAAATATCCCCCAAATCTTTTAAACATAAGAAAAAGTCCCACTGCAAAGCAAGGCCGATTGTATACTTCATATGGTATAGTGCAACGGATTCCGCTATTTCTGTGATATATAAGATGCTATTCTTAATTTATATAATGCAATCACTCAAATATTATTTTTCTATGAAAATTAATTCATAGAAATACTTTATAATCTTTCAAAACTTAAGAAAAGGTCCCACTGCTGAGCGAGGCCGATTGTATATTTCATGCATAGCGAGGCCGATTAGGCCCTATACGCGATATTGGGTGATGAATTCCCGTGTTTCAGGGATATATAGTATAATGTCCTTAACATACGTAAAACGTTCGTAATAAATATGATTATTTTATCAAAATCAATTGAAAAAATATTCCCCCAAATCTTTTAAACAAAAGAAAAAGGCTGGCTGCATCGCGAGGCCGATTGGGGGTTCTATATGTAGTACAGTGCGATGAAATTCACTATTTCTGAGATATATAAAATAAAAGAGAGAGAGAGAGAGGTGGGGGCGAATAACGATTTAGTGGACGATCCATCGATCATCTCATTTTTGCAACTACTATACAGCGAGCCTGTTTAGATTCTTTGTGATAAAGGGCGATGAGTTTGCCTACTAGATATAAGATAATATTCATAATTTATATTAACATTCAAGTATGGAACTTAATTGAGAAAATTTATATTTTGAAAATATAAACATAAGAAACGGGTGCAGGAAGATCCAAACTCTCATTTTAACCACAACTAAACATAATATCAAGGCCGTATATCGAACTGTCAATCAAATTGACTGACATGCGGCCTCGCTCAACAACGGTCTCGCTTAGCACGCTTTATCATTTACCAAAGAAAATGCCGACGAACGAATGAACTTCTCTCCGCACGTGCCTTCCCTCCCGTTAGAAATTAAAAGGTCGGTAAAATAAAAAGTTGTTTATCGATTCGGCTGATCGGGAACTGGTAGAGGTGCGAAAGTCAACAAAACGTGCAACAAGTCTCTCTTCTTTTAAACAGAAGCTCTCCGAACATGACTCTAAACCCCCAAAACATTTCTACATTGGCTCTAGGAAAACTTACTCCAGGGCGACCTTCGGATGTAGACTATAGTCGCGACTACAGTCTGAACTAGCACCCAAACGCAAATGGCCCTAGCCATTGACTATTCAATATGGTGGCGACCATGTCAGTTGTTCCGCCTGCTATATTTTCACCTATTTACTCATGTATTTGTAAGAACTGGTTAATTTTCCATACTGCGATGTGAAAGCAAGCTTAAAATAGGTTACAAATAAATAGGATTAGTCAATATCAGAATATTTTTCATTGGAATTATGTCACCCAACCAAATCATTTCACACGTACAGTTTTTTGTCGGGTGCCTACATATATTTGAATAAGAAGATCCTAATCTGTCAAATTCATCAAAAAAAGTAGCTAAGTCTGTAACTCAATATCATCCAAAATCTTTGACAATGAAAACACGAATTGTTTTGCAATTTAAATCAGTATTGGTGTTGTGATCTTACCTGGAAAAGATTGGCTTCTGATATCCAATATTTAAGACAAAATAAACATTTTACCATTGGTACACGAATCGTGTACCATAATGCGTTTCAGCGCCATTTGTAACAAGGTGCTCTTTAGAATGAGGCTAGACATATTCCACAAGTCATGTCAAACGGTGATATCATATTCTTTTTTGGAGAGCATGCGCAATAAATAATATCGGTGTTGACTTGCGGTTGAGACTTCTGCCGTATAACTGATGACAATTCACAGTAAAACGGACACGATTGAATAGAAAAACAGTTTATATAAATTCATATTACATTATTATATCTGTTGCGACCCATTTGTGCCAATTTCTAGGTCCAAAATATTAGCGATTTAGCTCCTTTAACATCTATACTACAATGCCCATTCACTAACTTTCAGGCGTTAACATGGACCCTATAATACCGACCAAGGTGTAAATAACGCAACGGCAATTGGCAATTTTATTATATTTTTTAGAAAATCTCTCAAGTGTCAGTTTTGTCAGCCATCTTTGAACTATCCCGACCGTGCTTTATCGCATGGTACGGCTGGTCACGACCACTGGTTGAACTAAATGTCATTCGCATGCAGATGGTTCCTGAAGCTGTACTTATTTGGAGCGAACTGCGACTGAATTGTTGGCGAATCAAAAAGCCACGAGCTGAAAGGCGTCAGTCGATAAATTCTAAATGCATGTCCTACCTTATTGTGTGATCCATCTCTGAACAACAAATGAATGACACTTACTGACAAACAAACGTTGTTCAGTGAAACAGGTTTATCCAATATCACATACACCAGCATTTCTTTCAGTCGCCATGTTGGGATAGTTTGACCTTTTCTTGACGTCATATCCCTTGCATTAAAATTTGAGGATCCCTGTTTTACGCGAAATGAAATGCATTTTTGTACAATATTTTTATGGATTGCGTATAGTACTGTTTTTGTAGAGGTTTTATATCGGGATAGAAGACGATGTTTGTTGAAGAATAATTAGGTCACTCTTCACACGTAGTTGAAATACACAACGTCTATTGAGAACTTAATAATTATTTGTTGCATGATTAATTAGTAGTAGTATGCCTAGATCATGACCAGTGCTTGAAATGAAGATTCTTCTACAACGGCACCAAAAATTTATAAATGCCGTAACAAAAATTAGCTGACAATTATAAGGCACAGCTGCCTTTCTTCATATTTAACAAATATACTGTTATATTTGTAGATAGACAAACGGTCCGTGCAATGATTTCCCATGTCAATTAATCTGGTTCTAATTGCGTTTGGTGGTACTGTCATAAGTATAAAATTTACAGATTCCTCTTGGAGTAATAAAGTCATCGAAATTTGTTTTCCTTTCGATCCTTTAGTTATTCGTGTTCCAAATGGTTGCCATCATGTCAACCATAACTAAAATTGATTCATCAAATTTCCCACGGCTCTGCCATAACCTTCTATAATAAGGGCACTATTTTAGAAAGTGAGCATTCTTATGAAAAAATGAACTATAAGGGTAGGCTTGGGACACTATTTACAACTAAATCTTGCATTCCTGAATTATTGACCTAATCCCAAGCCCAGCCGCCCCTGAACGACTGTATGATATATTGAAAAGTTATTACCTATCCATTTCATACGTCTGATGTATATAAAAGGCATAATTTTTTGATACGTGGACAACAGCGCGATTTGGGCTAATTTTATTATCGTGGCAGTCCGTGTTTGCTTCATCTTTTACTTTTTACGACAGTTTTGCCGTTATGCCGTGGTAAATTCTAGCATGGGCGGTATGATTGAGATTATTATTTATAAAATGTTATTAAATGTTCATTACAATATAAATCCTTAAATTTGTCGGCGTTCGTAGAATGTTTCATCGCTACCGCTTGATTATGATAGCTTCTGTCTTGTCAATGTCACGTGACATTTTCCCGCTTTTCTATCGATAGAGTTGAAAAGATCTATAATATTATGAGTCTTGTATCACACACACGGCAAATAAATAAAAGGGCCGAGTGTCATTTTAAGTAAGAGACTAGAGAGAATGCTTTGTTCACAATTTGAATAATATTTTATGAAAAGATTTATTGGCTGCTGAGTCATTTTGAACAGATATCGGCTACGCAAATATCGGTAAAATTTCTTCTGATAGGCCACTCATCGGCCAATTATGCTACTGAATAGTGAAACCGATAATTGGACCATCACTAAAAATAAATTTAAAATGATCGCCTTCAAATTATAGTCTCATGATTTAGTTTCGTTTAAAGAATTCCGTTCCAATATGCACCATGCCAGATTTCAACTTTCGCCAATGTAGGTCATTTCCTGTTTCACTGTGTTTTGTTGGTTGTAGGCGAAGATTTTTGTGAAATCTCTTAAAATAGACAGCAAAAAATATTTTTCGGAACATAGATGGATATATTTTATGTAAGTTGAATGTGTTAGCAGTGCAGATAACTGACAATTGTGAATTTTGCCGTCCGCTGAAAGAAGTAAACTAGTTATAAACTTTTGCGACAAGCTTTTGACCGTTCGGATGTTAGATGTTACGTCCTCAGAATATCAAAGAGTAACATCTAACTTGTTGGATTATAGGAAAACTGAAATTATCCACAGCAAACTACGACTTAACTTTCATGCAGTGACTAATAAATGGTCACCTGTTTTTTAGACACATCTCTGAAAATCCAGCTTGCAATTGTGGTCACCTTTTTGAGGATAGCGAACACTATCTTTTACACTGACACTGTCCAAACTTCAATACTTTTCGAAGAAAAACCATTTCTACATTACCTGATGAGTATAAGAACAGCAAAACTCTACTCTACGGCTTGCATGACTCCACAAACGAAATTTATAACCTTATCTTTACAACAGTTCAATCATGGCAGTGGCTATTTGCCACATGTGGTAAGCAAGAATTTCAAAATGGCCTTACGACTACAGACCGCAATTGTTACCCGATTTTAATAAAACTTACAGATTATGATAACATTGATAACATCTCTGATTAGCAAAACTTTCGGCCATTTCCGGTTGGCGGTTTCCGAGATATGGGGTTACCACACATTTCATGTGGCAAAGCTACAGACCGCAATTATGAACCGATATCCATGAAACTTACAAAATATGATAACATTAATAATACTGTATCTCAGAGTAGCCAAAATTTTGATCACTTCCGGTTAGCGGTTTCCGAGATGTCAGGTTACCACACATTTCATGTGGCACGGTTACAGACCACAATTATCAACCAATTTCCATGAAACTTACAGAATCTGATAACTTTAATAATATCTCAGAGTAGCCAAAGTTTCGGCCAGTTCCGGTTAGCGGTTTCCAAGATATCAGGTTACCACACATTTCATGTGGCACGGCTACAGACCGCAATTACCAACCGATTTCAATAAAACTTGCAGATTATAATAAAATTAATAATATCTCAGAGTAGCCAAAATTTCGACCACTTCCAGTTAGCGGTTTCCGAGATATCAGGTTACCACACATTTCATATGGAACGGCTACAGACCACAATTATCAACCGATTTCAATGAAACTTGCAGATTATAATTACTTCAATACTATCTCAGAGTAGCCAAAATTTCGGCCACTTCCAGTTAGAGGTTTCGGAGATATCAGGTTACCACACATTTCATGTGGCACGGCTAGAGACTGCAATTACCAACCGATTTCAATGAAACATGCAGATTATAATAACATTAATAATATCTCAAGAGTAGTTAAAATTTCGACCACTTCCGGTTAGCGGTTTTGGAGATATCAGGTTACTACACATTTCATGTGGCACGGCTACAGACCACAATTATCAACCGATTTCCATGAAACTTACAGAATATGATAACATTAATAAAATCTCAAAGTAGCCAAAATTTAGACCACTTCCGGTTAGCAGTTTCCGAGATATCAGGTTACCACACATTTCATGTGGCACGGCAACAGGCCGCAATTATGAACCGATATCCATGAAACTTACAGAATATGATAACATTAAAGGAGTACTTCACTTTACAAACTTTTCGTGATTTATGATAATTTTCAAATAAAAGAGTCAATTTAAGATGTAAAACAGTATAAAAAACATAAAAAATAAACGAGTTATCTTTCCCTAGTTAGCTCTTTCGCCATGGCGTTATGATTTCTATGCTGTGACGTCACAGTTGAACAACAGCCTTTGTTTACATGTGCTTGTAGTACAGAAGTTTTTAGCACCTGATCGGCGAATTTTACAAAAAAATGGTTCTTTGTGCTGCTGTTGGTTGTAATAATGATTCAAGAAGAACGGCTGGCATTAGCTATTATAAAATCCAGTCTCGAGCAGTTGATATACAGAAGAAATGGATGATTAATCTAAGACGAAAAAACTACGTAGTCACGGCACACTCTTGTATTTGTTCCGATCATTTTGAAGAGGGCTGTTTCGTTTGAGATTTGCAGGCAGAACTTTTAAAAATTACGAGGCCTCGTAAGATTAAAGATGACGCCTTACCAACAGTTTTCAATCATGGCATGAAGAGTTTACCAACAAAACGGAGACTACACACGGAACAACGTCTGAATGCAAAATAAAGAAAATCGGTAAGCGAAATTATGATGCAGATATTTTGTTTACTGACGCGGCACCGGAGCCACTAGTAAAGTAGAAAGATTCGTGGCATTTTATTTTTATTAAAATTACTGTAGAATAGTTTGAATCTACTATAAAATGAAAATGAATTTCCATGTAAAATACATCTATTGTATAGTTCTAAGCCAAAATCATCTAGGTCTAACAAAGGGGATCTATGGAAAGTTGCATGTGTTTTTGAATCCACGAATGTGCGTGGCAAGGAGTAGGTTCGCATGTCCAATTCATTGGTTTTCTCGGGGTCCCCCGGTTTCCTGTCATCACTTAAGACCCCTACGAACAAGTGAATTATTGAAATAAAATTGAACCATGTGTTAGCCCCAAAATGACATAGTTTGTGTCGAGTGGAAGTTACATGTAAATCCCATTTCTCTTGTTTTAAAATCGCTAGATATATGTTTATTATTGTTTTACAGGAAATCCATAACATAATATTAAGTGATGTGTCCAACATCAGTACCAGTACTGGTAATCTAATACAAGACAATCCTGAATCAGATATTTCAACTTTCGAAGCAGAACATACATATCAAAGAACGGAAGAAAGGGGCTTTCAAACTGATTACATTTTATTTCCGGATGTTTTTCCAGCTAATACCTTCAAAGGAACTGTTTCAAGGGCTACGCAAACATTTCCGAAATATTGTAATTCTTCAACCCAATACAGAGAAGAAGATTTTCTTGATGTGCAAAGTTTATTAGAATGTCATTCATACTGTTCTACTTCAATATCAACCCACTCTCTTGATAATTCACATAATCCACAAACCAGTACACCAAAAAAGAAAGTACCTATAGAATTTCTTTCTGATTCATCATCATCATCATCTGATGCACGTGACACGGATTACCAACCTAGTCAGGGTGTTGGAGATAGTTCATTTTGTTCAAGTAATGGTAGTTTTTCCAGTGACGATGCAAACCCTAACATCTGTTTAAGTAAATTAAATACAGTAGAACCACATGTAGATAGAAAATATATTGTTTTTGAAAGTTCTTTATGTAAGCTTTTTAAATTTTGCCAAATTTGTGGTAGTAACATTATTAATACAACAAAAAGTACTAGCGGTTCATTATTAAAGGTAAAAATTGTTTGTGTTTTTGGACATAGTTGTACTTGGAACTCACAACCATACATCCGGAAAATGCCTGCTGGAAATTTACTGATTGCTGCAGCTTTACTCTATGCTGGGTGCTCTTATGCTAAAATGGAAGAGTTTGCCGATTTATTAAATCTAGAATTTTTTGGACATTCGACGTATACTATTCAAAAAAAGTAGGGGATATTTGATTTTCGGGGCATAATACTAAAATATGCAAATGACTACGAAAAAAGTCACTATAGAACCTAACAGAAGAAACATTTCCAGTTACATGTGACGCCCAAACGCACCAATAGCTACCGCATGGAATGCAGGTGATGCTTGGGATCATCATGGGGGTCCAACCCAAGATTTGCACGACTCTGACTTTGAATGTTACAGTCATTGTGGCATTGAATTCCAGGGTGGAAACATCAGTTTAATTGTTTTAGTGACCAGAAAACAAATTTTGATATGCGTCGGCTTACCCAAAATGAAAGGTTACGTGCCCTTGGCATGCTACAGATCGACACAACACAGGCGGTTGTGGCGCGGACGATGAATGTTTCTCAGTCTGTCATAAGCAGGCTATGGTCCAGATACCGTGATACACAATCTGTACAGGACAGACCACGTTCAGGTCGACCAAGGGCGACAACTCAAGCCCAGGATCGATTTATCCGTACCTTGGCCTTGAGATATCGTGTCATCACAGCAAATCAGATCAGCGCTCGTCTTCAAACAGACACTGGTGTGAGAGTGAGTGGCCAGACGATTCGGAATCGACTGCATAGGGGTCACCTTCGCGCCCGACGTCCTCGCGTGATCCCTTGTTTGAGAGATCATCACATTCAGGCAAGACGTCGTTGGTGTAGGGATCGTCAACACTGGGATAATCGACGCTGGAGCAATGTGATGTTTTCAGATGAGTCAAGGTTCACTGTTGATTTTTTGGACAGACGTAGGAGGGTGTGGCGTCGTCGAAACGAGCGCTTCCAAGACGTTAACGTCATCAGACATGATCGATTTGGGGGTGGTTCTGTTATGGTGTGGGGAGGCATCACTGTTGCTGGAAGAACGGCTTTACATGTTGTTGCAGGGCGTGTTACAGGCCAGTACTACCGGGACAACATCTTGGCAGTCCATGTTGTGCCGTTCGCACGACGTCATGGCCGCCGTTTCATCTTCCAGGATGACAACGCAAGATGTCACAGGGCCAGGATCGTTACAGGTTACCTCCAACAACAGAACATCACCACATTACCTTGGCCAGCACTGAGTCCCGACCTCTCCCCCATCGAGCATGTCTGGGACATGCTTGGACAGAGGTTACGTCAACGTCAACAACGTCCTGCCAATGTCCAAGAACTTGCTGCTGCGTTGCAACAGGAATGGGACAATCTGGACCAAAATGACCTTAGACGTCTCATTAGGAGTATGCCACGTCGGATCAATGCTTGTTTGGCAAACAGAGGAGGATTTACCCGTTACTGACTTGGTTGTGATGCTGTGGTAACTTTGCTGTTTGACCCCGGGTATCATTTTACCCTTATAATGGTCAGTCTGTGCCTTACTTAGTCTAACGATCATTTGGAATAAATCGATGAATGTGAACTTCATTTCATTTTGTCATTTGTTTCTTCGTCAGTTTCATTAGGTGACTTTAATAACACTTAAAAATCAAATATCCCCTACTTTTTTTGAATAGTATATTATAAAATACAAACAGATTTATACACTATAATTAACGAGGCTTGGACAAAAGAAAGATTATCTGTTGAGAATGAATTAGTTGGCAGAGTACTGTGTGTATCTGGGGATGGAAGATGTGACAGTCCAGGATTCAGTGCAAAATATTGCACTTATTCCCTGCTTGATAGTGGTAGAGGAAAGTTAATTAACTTCAGTGTTGTACATGTTGGGCAAGTTGAACTGAAATCCACAAACATGGAGAAAGAAGGTCTAAGGCAATGTTTGACAACACTGGACGAACGCTTGAATATTAATGTATTGGCAACAGACAGGCACATACAGGTCGGATGCATGTTACGAAAGGATTATCCGAATATTATCCATCAGTATGATGTCTGGCATGTATCAAAATCATTAATAAAAAAATTATCTGAGAAAGCCAAGTCCAAACAAAATGAGCCCTTAAAACCGTGGATTCAGTCGATCCGAAATCATTTTTGGTGGTGTGTCACAACATGTGACGGTAATATCATTCTTTTGAAAGAAAAATGGATTTCTGTTCTAAAACACTGTTCTAACATCCATGAGTGGACATCAAATGAACAGTTTCATCAGTGTGAACACCCAAAACTTTCAAAACATGAAGAAGCCCAAAAAATGTGGTTAAAACCTGGGTCTGCAGCATTCCAAGTATTACAAGACATTGTTTTGGATAAATCATTTTTGAAAGTTTTAGAAAAACTTACATTAGCATGTCACACTGGAGACCTTGAAGTTTATCATTCGATGATGCTAAAATATTGTCCAAAACGACAGCACTTTTCATTTGAAGGTATGGTTGCTCGGACCCAGCTTGCTGCTCTTGACCATAACAATGGGGTTGGCACGGATCAAGCAATAGCATCCAGCGGACCCAATGAAGGCACTTACAAATACAATCAAGTGTTCCCAAAACGAACGTCTGTCTGGGTGGCAAAGCCTATCTTTGAAAAAAAGACCTATGATTTTAAGATAGATTTGATGGCTAGAACTGTTGAGGTGAGAACTGCTGGAATTGTATTACCAATATTTAATTTACCAGTTGTGCCAGAAAACATTGCTTCTGTGCCTAAGCCGCCTAAGGATGAAACTGTGAGGAAACACAGATCGCGCATGTCTAAATCCATTTTAGACGAGTCACCAGCCGTATCAGAATTATTTTGTGAATAGTTCACAAAATACTGACATTCTTGTTTATATAAAAGATGAAGTTTGTTTGTTGATTATTTGTGGTTGAACATATAAGTTTATTATAAGTAATTTAATGATTCTATTTAATTTGTATTATGAAATCATAAGGTCTGTTATTGAGTCAAATGGTGTGCTTTGGATTCTCCACTTGTAAGTGACATAAATGTGACATTTTTTTATTAAGATGCATTATGTAAGATTTAGATAAAGAGTTGGCCATTCTCGGCTATAATGGTTTAAAAATGAATATATTGAAAATTTGTCTAATTACTGCATTCTGGGCGCTGTTATGACAAGAAATAGTGTAGTCTTGATTGCCAAGCACTATATTCACAAGATAAAAAAAACAAGTCTCGGTTATCTTCAATAAAGGCAGCTATCTAAAAACTTTATTTTTAAATGGTAGTAACATAGTGAATTTTAGAAATTTATTCTGCCCACTTAAAACCAGTATAATGACCAGTTGAAGATGGGAATATTGTCCTTATTTCAGCAACAACACAGGATGGTATTACTTTTCTGATGTGTCTTCCCAATCTTTGATGTATCCAATATATGAACTGTCTATAGGCTTGGTGTCGTAAAACGCTGAAAGAAAAAAAAAAAAATAGGGGTTGTTACATTTTAACTAGGGTAATAATACTATTTGAAAAGGAAAGATGTCTTTGTTATCTGCTCTGCATTGTGTAATCAGATCTATAATATGCACTTATGTCGTAGTTATGTACATACATATATGTATGAATAAGTTTTATGAATAAGTTTGAATTGAAGATACAACTTTAATACATTTTTAGTATTCTGTATAATATGTATATACTTTTTCTTTTTACTAAAATAACTTGTATTGTAATGTAAATTGTTTTTTTTTTTCACACCTCATTTGGTGTCACTTGTGTCAAATGGGGTCTACCAACACATTTTATTTGTATTTTATTAGTATTGTTCTGATAATCTCGTTTGTATGCAATAACGTACCTTTATGAGAGTTTGTTGTAGATAAATCATATTTATTTACAAAAGAAAAACAACCAACCACTGGTTTCCAAGCTGATCTACTTCCAATTTGTTTATTTATAACGTGTTTTTTGATTGGCTAAAGAGTGTTTCCCGTACATATTGTCCAATGAAATGATAGAACAGCAGCCAAAGTATCTATTTATAGTAATGTGAGAAAATGTCGCCGAACTGTAACTCGGTAACTATAAACTGAAAGTTAAAACTTACTCATTTGAAATCGGCTGGGCTTTGTCTCCTCGCACATCAGCCCTAGCAATAGCCGAAACTTTAAGGACTTTGGCATTTAAGCAAACTGTACGAAAATCCTCATTTTCTATTACACACAAGGTTGTATGGGCGAGTCGGTGAGAAATAACGTTGGTTTCCTTGCAGCACACACATTCGTCTGACAATGGCATCGAAGAACAATTAGTGCACAGATACCAGTCTGTATTTCCTACTCGAGTATTATTATCAATAACTTTGTCCTCCGATGTATCGGTATCCGAATCCGTTCGCATTTCACCCGGAGAATATTCTGGCTCGAATTGGTAAGGTGCTATCATAGCGGAGTTCCGAGCAGCCATTACAAACAATGCTGGATACGGCTTTACTTTGTTCGCGAGTGACGTCATAATTCCATCGCGTGATATTCCTGGTTTTCAAAAGAAGAGTTCTATTTGGCAATATGGCGGCGCCCATGGCTCTTACAAATTGTTTTATAATGCCAATTAAAATATAAATAAAAATAGTTACTTAATGGGAATTGCGGGGCTTATTTGTATGAATCAAATACTTGCTTTAATAAATATTTCCATGAATAATGGAGTACTCCTTTAATAAAATCTCAGAGTAGCCAAAATTTTGACATCTTCAGGTTACCACACATTTCATGTGGCACGGCTACAGACCACAATTATCAACCGATTTCCATGAAACTTACACAATATGATAACATTAATCATATCTCAGAGTAGCCAAAAATTCGACCACTTCCAGTTAGCGGTTTCGGAGATATCAGGTTACCACACATTCCATGTGGCACGGCTACAGACCGCAATTACAAACGGATTTCAATGAAACTTGCAGATTATAATAACATTAATAATATCTCAGAGTAGCCAAAATTTCGACCACTTCCGGTTAGCGGTTTCGGAGATATCAGGTAACCACAGGAAACAAAAATTAGACATTGCACCAACCGCAGACAAAATTATTACAAAAAGAAAAGCAAAGGATCCGAAATATTTGCAAAGGCTGCCAGAAAAGCCAGATTGACACATTCAAAGTCCGTAACTAAAACAACAAATAAAGGCTAAACAGAAATGATCTTAGTGTGTTGTAATATTGTACATATTGTATATATTCTTAGTTGGAGGGCAAACAATGTGAATTGTTAACTTTATTTATTTTTTTAGTAAGTATTCTGTAAGTGAGGATAATGACCGAAGACTGTCCATTATGTAAAAGAAAGAACAACGGAGGGGCGTTAGCCCCGAAGTTTTGCGTTGTATTTACATAATGGACAGTCTGAGGCTATTATCAAACTTAAAACATAGCACTATAGAGATACAAATAATGGATAGTTTTCTAAAACAACAAGCCATAGAATAATGGATATATTCTTAAAACAACATGCACCTGCTCATGAATGCATGTGACAAAACACTCCAGTCATACAATGCAAACATACAGACAGTCCAAAATATTCTACATACAACACAGTCGAAAACAAATATTAATAATGAGAATATATTATGTGATAAGCATTTGGATACTGATTACATTGGTAGGGTGACCCACCATAAATAAATATCTCCATATATCTCGACAATTACGCCACAATATTTATATATATGCCAAGCCTCAAATTAGTTTCACACAATTATAGTCACTAAATAAACGATCATGTTGTACTTAATAAGCTATGACCATTAATCATCTATAAATAATAGACTGAAAACTGGTTCCAAGTGTCGTCCATAACATCCAGACACTTTTGAATAAAAGATAGGTTACGTGCCCTTGTTTTGAAATTAGTCTCTCTTAACCAGTCTATCGACCATTCTACGTCTGATTGACAGGTCGGGATAATCAAGACTACTTTTTTACGAAACATAACAGAAAGCTAGAACAAGAAATTGAATTTAGAAATAAGCACGTTAGGTAGCTCAACAATCGTTTTAAGAACCTTGTAAAAGTAAAATGAAACTACTGCTAGTATCATGTTCCTGTCTAACCCGAGTGATTCAGAGATATTATTTGTACTAAACCAAAAGATGCCGCTCTTAACGGTACAGTTAATGATAAAGCGATTTAAAAAATGAAACAAACGTATTTTCTAAATCTGCTGTAATAACCAAGAAGCTTAATTTCACTGCTATTCAAAATCGTCAACAATAAATTTTTTACGGCTGTAATAGTTGATAGATTTGTAGAGAATTGCACGTGCCATGGCTATTTATAGTATCATACTGTCAGAAAGTTGGTCTCGGCACGGCGACTGTGCACGCTTCAGTGGTAGTCTCGAACTATCAGCGGTAGACTTTATTTCTGTAGAGTACATGGGTCACCCTAACATTAGTAATGTACTCAATATGGAAGGTAATAGCGGTAAAAACTGTGATGATCTTGATATGGGGGATAATAGCTGTCAAAGTTGTGATGGAAAGGCTGCTCACGAGAATGATTTAGATATTGATAACTGTGGTTAATATGGAGGGTACTAGCTGTCCCAATTTTGATTTAAAAATTAATATATACTCTGATATAAGTGACAGGACACAGGATCAAAGGCACAAACCCATTCACGAAATTCAAACTCAAAACTGTCATTATGGTGAAACGGTGATATATTTGAACGTTTTTTGATATACCATATTTTTACGCTATTTGAGAATTAAGGGAGGCCATTTTGTCTGTCAGTTTTGGGCCGATTTTCACGAAATTCGAACTCAGTCGTCCTTAGGGTATAACGGTGATATAATAATACGTTTTTATACGCCCACATTTTGATGTGGACGTATATTGTCGTCGCCCCTGTCCGTACGGACCTCCGTCCACAATTTGTTTGTGGACTCTCTACAGGTCACAATTCTTGTCCGATTTTGACGAAACTTGAAATATAGGTTTATCCCCAAAAGATCTCGGCTGCTTTCGATATTGGCATGTATCGGATTGAAACTTCATGGATTATGGCCCCTGTTTGTACGAAAAATCACGTTTTTAGCTTGTGGACCCTATAGAAGTCACAATTTTTACCCGATTTTGTTGAAACTTGACATGTAAGTTTATAACCCAAAGATCTCAGTTCATTTCGATATTCGTGCATATCGGACCGTAACTTCCTGAATCATGGCCCCTGATTGTACGAAAAGTCGCGTTTTTAGCTTGTGAACCCTATAGAGGTCATAATTTTTATCTGATTTAAAAAACCGTATTATTATATCACCGTTACACCCTAAGAAAGGTTGAGTTCAAATTTCGTGAAAATCGGCCCAAAATTGACAGACAAAATGGCCGTCGTTCGTTCTCAAATAGCGTTAAAATATGGTATATCAATGTTGTGGACACTATAGAGGTCACAATTTTTATCCGATTTTCTTGAAACTTGAAATCTAAGTTGATAACTTCATGAATTATGGCCCCTGATTGTACGCAAAAACGCGTTTTTTGGCTTGTGGACCCTATAGAGGTCATAATTTTTATCCGATTTAAAAAAACGTGTTAATATATAACCGTTACACCTTAAGGATGGCTGAGTTTGAATTTCGTGAAAATCAGCCCAAAACTGACAGACAAAATGGCCGCCCTTCGTTCTCTAATAGCGTAAAAATATGGAGGTCACAATTTTTATCCGATTTTGTTGAAACTTGAAATGAAGTTTATAACTCGAAGATCTTGGTTCCTTTCGATATTTGCGCATATCGAATTGTAATTTCCTGAATTATGGCCCTTGATTGTAGAAAAAATCACTTTCGTTTTAGCTTGTTTTCTATCCATCTCTCGAAAATGTGGGCGTATCCTGCCTGGCAGCCGCTGGTTATCCGATTTTGTTGAAACTTGAAATGTAAGTTTATAACACAAAGATCTCAGTTCCTTTCGATATTCGCGCATATTGAATTGTAATTTCCTGAATTATGGCCCTTGATAGTAGGAAAAATCACTTTCTTGTTAGCTTGTTCTCTATCCATCTCTCGAAAATGTGGGCGTATCCTGCCTGGCAGCCGCTGGTTTAGCTTGTGGTCCCTCTGGAGGTCACAATTATTATCCGATTTAAAAAAACGTTTGATTATATCACCGTTACACCATATTGAAGGTTGAGTTCGAATTTCGTGAAAATCGAACCAAAATTGCCGGACAAAATGGCCGCCGATTGTACACGAATAGTGTAAAAATATGGTATATGTCAAGGTTCGATTTTGATGAAACTTGAAATTCATGTTTATAACCTAAAGATCTTGATTCCTTTCGATATTGTTGCATATCGGATCGTAACTTCATGAATTATGGCCCCTGATTATACGAAAAATCGCCTCTTTTAGCTTGTGGTCCCTCTGAAGGTCACACTTATTATCTGATTTTAAAAATCGTTTGAATATATCACCGTAACACCATAATAAAGGTTGAGTTCAAATTTCCTGAAAATCAAACCAAAACTGCCGGACAAAGTGGTCGCCACTTGTACGCGAAAGGTGTAAAAATAAGGTATATCAAGGTTGTGGACCCTGTAGAAGTTCCATTTTTAATCCGATTTTGTTGAAACTTGAAATGTAAGTTTATAACCCAAAGATCTTGGTTCCTTTCGATATTCGCGCATATCGGACGGTAACTTCCTGAATTATGGCCCCTGATTGTATGAAAAATCACTTTCTTTTTAGCTTGTTCTCAATCCATCTCTCAAAAATGTGGGCGTATTCTGCCTGGCAGCCGCTGGTTTTAAATCGGATAAAAATTATGACCTCTATAGGGTCCACAGGCTCAAAACATGTTTTTTTGTTCAATCCAGGGCCATAATCCAGGAAGTTACGGTCCGATATGCGCCAATATCGCAAGGAATTGAGATCTTTGGGTTATAAATACACATGTTCAGTTTCATCAAAATGGGCTAATAATTGTGACCTCTAGTGTGTACAGTCAGGGGCCATTAAACGGATAAGTGACATATAACGGACGGATTTAAGTGGAATTCTTTATGTAGACAAACACGTGAAATCAATATTCGGTCATGTGACATTTCGGTAACTATGACTTTTAAAGTAATTTCATGTTCTGTAATTTAATTTGTTTAGAGAATAAATTATCCCAAAATACATGTTCATTTTTCAGATACGTGTCTATTATTGATATTTTCTTAAACAATCGTCTATTATTTATAAAACTGTCCATTATTTATTGAAAACAATGGACAGTTTTATAAATAATAGACGATTGTTTAAGGAAATCGTACATTCTCCTATATAATGGTTAAAAACATCAGAGGGTGACGTCATATCTATGTTTTAAACTAATTTACTCAGTATTTTTGCTTACCGGTTACTTTAACTGATATTTCTGTAAATGGTAGAAGTATCAATTACATAAGTTTTGTATACTAAACGTTAGCATGGGGCAGAACTTTATAAAAAACAAACAAATTCTAATGGTTTTCTGATAATTACTTCATGAGTTGTTACATTTAATCAGATTTTAGTGTATTATAAATGTTTCATTAGCGAAAAAAGTAAAAGTATGCGACAACACTTGTTGACTGCCCGGACGATTTAGCTGCTGTGGGCGTATGTTTTGTTGCCTGGCAACCTATTTTTGATAATTACTGCCATAGTTATGGCCCTTGATCACTTCAAAAAATCTTGTGGACGTTCTAGAGGCCAAAGTTAATATCCGATTGACTTCAGATTGATACACAGAGTTTAAGGTTTTGAGATGAACAAGTATATTGATTTTCAATGAATTTTGATAACTTGAACAGCTAAATCCATGATATTTATGACAAAAACAGTCGGCTCACAAGGCCGACCCGGCATCTTCAAAATAAACTGATGTCGGCCCGTCCAGTTATTTATCGGTGACGGACCGACGTAAGTTTTAAACACTGTTTCGTATACTAAACGTAAGCATGAGGCAGAACTTTATAAAAACTAAACAAATTCTAGTGATTTTATGATAATTACTTCATGAGTTGTTACTCTTAATCAGATTTTAGTGTATTATAAATGTTTCATTACTGAAAAAAGTAAAAATATGTGACAACTCTTGTTGTCTGCCCGGACGATTTAGCTGCTGTGGGCGTATGTTTCATTGACTGGCAACCATTCTTTATACTACTATGTAGTATAAAAGCTATTGTTTTTGTTCGGATTATTATTATTGTTGTTATTATTTTTTCTTCCATCGCGTTTTTGGAAAAAGTACATACTCTACAGAATTAAACTCTATACTATCCGAAAGGTGTTTAGTTGGAATCGTGAATGAATCACTAAAAATTTAAAAATGGTTTGGTTTTTTTTTTCAAAGTGCCAATATTTGAACTTCGAGTGTTTTACTGTTATTTGAAGTATTTATGTGTTCAGTTCTTTAGTGCAACTGAACTCTGACCGGTAAAGCGAATACTGTTTACATCCTTACCCGATACCCCTCCATAGGTAGGGGACATTTATTGCTTCAGCAATACTCTAAGAATTCTTATTTAATAAAACAAGTTATCATCCCACCTGACTTCCATGTGATAATAACTTCTAGTAATTGTTTCCTTACATTAGACATTGAATTTTATTGATTTTCAGATGACTTTGGCATTTAGTTCCAGCTCTACAGATATCATAGAACAAAATATAGATACAGATAGTTGGTGTGTGGAAGATGTTGATTTGTTTTATGAAACAAAGAGATGTGCACAATTTATTTTGGAGGGAAACTATGAAATGGTTCGTATAAAACTACTGAGAATATTAATAATGTGATATAATAAAGTGATATGAGATTATTGTTGTAGGTGGTCAAATTACGGATAAAATAACAACACAAGGGTTCCGTTTTCAACAGTTTAAGAGATAAATATTACCCTAACCGAGGTTATTAGGGTAATATTTGTCTTACACACCGACATCAATGTTAAATCTATCCTAACTGATTTCACCTACAGTATAAGACAATGATTTAGCCCATATCGGCCCTGTGACTGATATGACAAAATTAAGAAAACAAGTCGTAAGTTGCACATGCATTACATTTTAGTAACCAGGCACGGATCCAGTGGGGGGGCAGGTGGCCGTCCCCCCCCCCACTCGTCATCACTGTTCATTCCAGCACCTGCAGCCAGCAATGGGATTCCCAGATTTTAGTTTCTGTTTAATGAGGTTGTGACGAAGACTCAGGGGACTGCACCAAACCACTAATGCATGCGGCACTCTGATGATTACCCTTTGCTCCAATGGATGGCCCTCACCCCCCCCCCCTTCGACAAAATCCTGGATCCGGGCCTGGTAACCACATGTTCACAAACTGACATTCATTTCGTGTAATGTTATGAAATGATTTGGATGACGAACTGATCCACACAAATCAGTTTTTAGAAAATATGGCTGAAAAAGAAAACGTAGATTCTGACAAAGAATTATTTAAATTTAGTCAAAGTGCAGAATTTATGCAGAAAATATTTAATAAGGATTTAATGTACTCGGATATTTCGAATTATGAGATACAAATGATAAACGCTTTTTATACGCCCACATGGAAATGTGGTCGTATATTGCCGTCGCCTCCGTCCATCCGTCGGTCCGTCCGTCCGTCGTCCACAATTTCTTGTGAACACTCTACAGACTACATTTATCATCTGATTGTTTTGAAATTGATATATGTTGTTTGCATTAGTGAGATGAAGAATCCTATTTAATTTCAATAACTTCCGTTAATTTCGTCTGGAGTTATGGCCCTTGTTTCACTTTGTTGCACCTTGTGAACGCTCTAACGACAAAAGTTATCAACCGATCTGTATGAAATTTATATGCATCATTTAAATTAGTAAAACATAGAAGCCTATTGAATTTCAGCAATTTCCATTAATTACATCTAGAGTTATGGCCTTTGTTTCACTTTGTTGAATCTTGTGAATGCTCTAATGACAACAGTTATCATCCGATCTGTTTGAAATTGATATGCATCATTTAAATTAGTGAAATGAAGAAGCCTATTGATTTTGAGCAATTTCCGTTAATTACTCTGTGAGTTATGGCCCTTGTTTCACTTTGTTGTACCTTGTGAATGCTCTAACGACAAAAGTTATTATCCGATCTGTTTGAAATTTATATGCATCATTTAGATTAGTAAAACAAAGAAGCTTATTGAATTTCAGCAATTTCAGTTAATTACATCTAGAGTTATGGCCCTTGTTTCACTTTTGCTTCTTGTGAACGCTCTAACAACAAAAGTTATCAATTGATCTGTATGAAATTTATATGCATCATTTAAATTAGTAAAACAAAGAAGCCTATCGAATTTCAGCAATTTCCGTTAATTACATCTAGAGTTATGGTCCTTTTTTCACTTTGTTGAATCTTGTGAACGCTCTAATGACAACAGTTATCATCCGATCTGTTTGAAATTGATATGCATCATTTAAATTAGTGAAACGAAGAATCCTATTGAATTTCAGCAATTTCCTTTAATTACGCTGTGAGTTATGGCCCTTGTTTCACTTTGTTGTACCTTGTTTATGACAAAAGTTATTATCCGATCTGTATGAAATTTATATGCATCATTTAGATTAGTAAAACAAAGAAGCTTATTGAATTTCAGCAATTTCCGTAATTACATCTAGACTTATGGCCCTTGTTTCACTTTGTTGAATCTTTTGAACGCTCTAATGACAACAGTTATCATCCAATCTGTTTGAAATTAATATGGATCATTTAAATTAGTGCAACTAAGATGCCTATTGAATTTCAACAATTTCCGTTAATTACACCCTGAGTAATGTCCCATTTTTCACTTTGTTGTACCTTGTGAATGCTTTAACGAAAAAAGTTATTATCTGATCTGTATGAAATTTATAGTAGGTGTCACAGCTCCATTGCCGCGTTGGAAGAAAGTCATTTTTTCCAGATTTGTAACCCTTTTTATACGCCCACATTTTCATGTGGACGTATTATGCCGTCGCCCCTGTCCGTCCGTCCACAATTGTTTGTGGACTCTCTACAGGTCACAATTCTTATCCGATTTCGACGAAACTTGAAATATAGGTTTATCCCCAAAAGATCTTGGCTGCTTTCGATATTGGCATGTATTGGATCGAAACTTCATGGATTATGGCCCCTGTTTGTACGAAAAATCACGTTTTTAGCTTGTGGACCCTATAGAGGTCACAATTTTTATCCGATTTTGTTGAAACTTGAAATGTACGTTTATAACCCAAAGATCTCAGTTCCTTTCGATATTTGCGCATATCGGACAGTAACTTCCTGAATTATGGCCCCTGATTGTACGAAAAATCACGTTTTTAGCTTGTGGACCCTATAGAAGTCATAATTTTTATCCGATTTAAAAAAACGTTCTATTATATCACCGTTACACCCTAAGGATGACTGAGTTCGAATTTCGTGAAAATCGGCTGGTTAGCTTGTGGACCCTATAGAGGTCATAATTTTTATCCAATTTAAAAAAACGTATTATTATATCACCGTTACACCCTAAGGACAGCTGAGGTCGAATTTCGTGACAATTGGCTCAAAATTGACAGACAAAATGGCCGCCGTTTGTTCTCAAAAAGTGTAAGAATATGGTATATCAAGGTTGTGGACCCTAAAGAGGTCACAATTTTTATCCGATTTTGTTGAAACTTGAAATGTAAGTTTATACCCAAAGATCCCGGTTCCTTTCGATATTCGTGCATATCGGACCGTAACTTCCTGAATTATGGCCCCTGATTGTACGAAAAATCACGTTTTTAGCTTGTTATAGAAGTCATAATTTTTATCCGATTTAAAAAACCGTTCTATTATATCACCGTTACACCCTAAGGATGACTGAGTTTGAATTTCGAGAAAATCAGCCCAAAATTGACAGACGAAATGGCCGCCATTCGTTCCCAAATAGCGTAAGAATATGGTATATCAAGGTTGTGGACCCTATAGGGGTCACAATTTTTATCCGATTTTGTTGAAACTTGAAATGTAAGTTTATAACCCAAAGATCTCGGTTCCTTTCGATATTCGTGTATATCGGACCGTAACTTCCTGACTTATGACCCCTGATTGTACGAAAAATCACATTTTTAGCTTGTGAACCCTATAGAAGTCATAATTTTTACCTGATTTAAAAAAACGTATTATTATATCACCGTTACACCCTAGGGACGACTGAATTCAAATTTCGTGAAAATCGGCACAAAATTGACAGACAAAATGGCCGCCGTTCGTTATCAAATAGCGTAAGAAAATGGTATATCAAGGTTGTGGACCCTATAGAGGTCACAATTTTTATACGCCCACATTGAAATGTGGTCTTATATTGTCGTCGCCCCTGTCCGTCCATCCGTTCATCCGTCCGTCCGCTCTAGAGGCTCAAGTTAATATCCGATTGACTTTAAAATTACATACAGTGTTTAAGGCCATGAGACGAAGAAGCCTATTGATTTTTAGCGATTTTCGATAATTATTGCCAGAGTTATGGCCCTTGATCACTTTAAAAAATCTTGTGGACGCTCTAGAGGCCAAAGTTAATATCCGATTGACTTTAAATTTATACACAGTGTTTAAGGTCATGAGACGAAGAAGCCTATTGATTTTAAGCGATTTCCGATAATTATTGCCAGAGTTATGGCCCTTGATCACTTCAAAAAATCTTGTGGACGCTCTAGAGGCCAAAGTTAATATCCCAAAGATCTCGGTTTCTTTCGATATTCGCGCATATCGGACTGTAATTTCCTGAATTATGGTCCCTGATTGTACGAAAAATCGCGTTTTTAGCTTGTGGACCCTATGGAGGTCATAATTTTTATCCGATTTAAAAAAACGTATTATTATATCACCGTTACACCCTGAGGACGACTGAGTTTGAATTTCATGAAAATCGGCCCAAAATTGACAGACAAAATGGCCGCCGTTCATTCTCAAATAGCGTAAAAATATGGTATATCAAGGTTGTGGACCCTATAGAGGTAACAATTTTTATCCGATTTTGTTGAAACTTGAAATATAAGTTTATAACCCAAAGATCTCGGTTCCTTTCAATATTTGCCCATATCGGACCGTAACTTCCTGAATTATGGCCCCTGATTGTACGAAAAATCATGTTTTTAGCTTGTGGACCCATTAGAGGTCATAGTTTTTATCCAATTTAAAAAAACGTATTATTATATTACCGTTCCACCCTAAGGACAGTTGAGTTTATATTTTGTGAAAATCGCCCCAAAATTGACAGACAAAATGGCCGCCGTTCGTTCTCAAATAGCGTAAAAATATGGTATATCAAGGTTGTGGACCCTATAGAGGTCACAATTTTTATCTGATTTTGTTGAAACTTGAAATGTAAGTTTATAACACAAAGATCTCGGTTCCTTTCGATATTCACGCATATCGGACCATAACTTCCTGAATTATGGCCACTGATTGTATGCATCATTTAAATTAATAAAACAAAGAAGCCTATAGTATTTCAGCAATTTCCGTTAATTACATCTAGAGTTATGGCCCTTGTTTCACATTGTTGAATTTTGTGAACGCTTGAACGACAAAAGTTATCACCCAATCTGTATAAAATTCATATGCATCATTTAAATTAGTGAAATGAAGAAACCTATTGAATGTCAGCAATTTCTGTCAATTACTTCTCGAGCTATGGCCCTTGTTTTACTTTGTTGAACCTTGTGAACGTTCGAACGACAAAAGTTATCATCCGATCTGTATGAAATTGATATGTATTATTTGAA